CTATTGAAAGCCATTGCCCCTTTCCCCAGCCCCTGCCTGCAAATAAGCAAGTATAATAAAAACATAACTTGGAACCAGTAAAATATGTGATTAATATGTAATAAACAGATTGTGTCAGCAGAACAATATCATGTCAGGTAGATGAGGTTAAATAATATGTGGAATTGAATTTATAAAATGTATTTGAAGTCATGAAAAGAAATGGCAATAACCGACAGCAAACTACACATGTTCACAGTATTTTCTTCTCTTAGTGTCTCAGGGATTTTATGAATTGGGGAAACTTCAGGAAGAGACAAATGCTCTGTATGTTTTCTTTCCTTCGTCTCCACGCAATGAGGTGGCAGAGATTTCAAATTGAAATGCACTTTGAAGTCATCAGGACAGAAGAGTCATCAATTTTAAGGTCTTTAATGCCCTGGACCATTTAATTTCCTCTTTCTTAGGCCTCTATCACTCATCTCAACTTTCTCCACCTTCACTATTCTGGCATTTCACCTTTGCTTTTTTCCTATTAAACCCACTAAAAGACCCACAAATCATAGCCTCTGGTGAGTCATTTATCTTTCATACTTCAGTTTCATCATCTATAAAATAAAAATACTAGCAATCTTTTATGTGTTTTACAAATATAGTATGGCATAAGGCAAATAATACATGTGGAAAATGATTGAAGATGCTATGAGACAATAAGAAAGTAAGGAAAGTGGAGGAAGCCCAATCACCTGAAGAGCTGTCACAAATAGAGGAAGAAGGTGAAGCAAGGGTCTAAAGAAAAAGATAAGCAGCAGATAGTGGAAATCAGGTGGTAGGGAAAGTGACTGCACCTAGTAACCTAAGGGAACAGTATAGAAATAAATGAAAAATCTTGTGAAATGTCAAGATAAATACATAATCTTTTGCTCATCAAACAGAGCTAAGCACTGTAATATGCTAAATATGTGTTATTATTTATATGCATTGGAAATTAGTTAGTAAAAGCATAAACTGGCTTATTACACTGAGTTAGGAATTAAAATTAAGTCATGATTGCTATGGCTGTGTTTGTGCTTAAGTGAAATTGCATTATGATTAGGTTAATAGAATAAGACGTTAAGTGCAAAATCCATTAAAGTCTTGAGCTCTCAACTCTTATCAAAGGAGTAAGGGAATGAGTTAAAAATAACAGGCAATTATAGCCTACCAACAACTACTCTTGGGAGATCTTTGTGTAAGAGCCAATAGTAGAGGTTGTTCAGAACAGGCAAATGGATGACTCAGAGTAGAAGCTGATCTCATGGCCTGAGGCTTCCTTTTCATGTTTCTCAAGTCAGAAGTACTTTGCACACTTCTCTCAGTAAAATATATCTGAGGAAATCCCGAGGAAAATCAAAGCAGGCTGCAAATACTAGATTATGACATAAACAGATTTCTTGATTCGTTCAGAATTAGATGCTAGTGAGATTTCGGACTACTGCTCCCCTTCAGGGAGAAAATCACTAAATAAATTCCTCTCACTTACTTTGGGACTACTTCTTGTTGAAAAGTGTTACTCTAATGATCTTTGTGCACTGGCTTTGTTACCTAGGCTTCAGGGTGCAAAGGAGTAAATTCCAAGAAAGTAAAATGAAACTATTTGTCTATTTTATACGTTAATTAGATGAAAAAGCTGTATCTCTATAATGCCAGGAATCCACATTCCAAACTCATAGAAATTGGAGTCTTTTATTTTATTGACTGCTACCAGTACTTTTTTTTCATTTTTGGATTTTTTTTTTTTTTTTAAGTTTGACACTAAACTCAAAGCCTGACATAAAGAGTGAAAATTGGCCACACATGGTGGCTCACACCTGTAATTTCAATACTTTGGGAGGCTGAGGTGGAAGCTGAGGTGGAAGGATTAGTTGAGTCCAGGAGTTCCAGACCAGCCTGGACAATTTTTGTCTCTACAAAAATTACAAAACTTACCCAGGCATGGTGGTGCATACCTGTAATCCCAGCTACTCAGGGGGTTGAGGTGAGGGAATCTTTTGGGCCTAGGAAGTTGAGCCTGAAGTGAGCCATGATTGTGCCACTGCACTCCAGCCTGGGTGAAATAGTAGGACTCTGCCTCTAAAAAAAGACGGAAAGTTGCAGAATCATATTTTGGGTTTTTTTTTTTTTTGCATAAAATAAAAGATTTATATAAATAGAACAAGATCAAATAATAAATATATAAGTTTTTTTTGAAAATTTTATTTTGTATGGTTTATTGACACAAACCACATACCAGAATTTGTAGAAATAATCCAAGTGGTATAGAAACCAACTATGTTTTTATAGTCACGAGATGGTAAAGATTTTTCTATGTCAATTTAATGGATTTAATTTTTACAAAGAAAATATTATTTTATAGTATGAACTGGATTAAATCTTGGATTTCTATTTTGCTCTGTAATGTAAAACTGAATTAATATTTATTTCCACGGGTTCATTAAATCAGCAAATATTTGTGGAGTGCCTTCTAAATGACAGGCACTGTTCTAGGTAACGGGGTTAGGGAAGAAAACAAGATGAACAATACTTTTATCTTAACAGAGCGTGTGTACTAGGAGTGAAAAACATTAAATTTAGATTAGAGAGACAAATAGATAAAATTTAAATTAGATAGGTATAAAAGTTATGATGAAAATAAATAGGGAGATGGGCTAGAGTTTGTGGTGGGTTACTTTAGGTTGAGTGGCCAGACACTCTATTTTTGAGTCTGAATTATGAGATTTGGACAAACAATATTCTCAGCAGGGAGTGACAATGACAATGCCTGAAGATAAGAACTAGCTAGTTTTACAAAATAGGAGAAAAGTCAGTGAAACAAAGTAAGCAGAGTGAAGAATGATATGACATGGCTCTAGGGTGTTGGTAGAAACTAAACCTCACAGAGCCTAATAGGACAACATAAGAGGTTAATTTTATTCTATATTCAGTGTTTTATCAATCATGTATTGCTGGGAAGCAAACCAGTCCAAAACTTAGTAGCTTGAAAAACCATATTTGGCTGAGTTCAGTGCCTCACACTTGTAATCCCAACAATTTGGGAGACTGAGGCAAGAGGATCACTTGAGGCTAGCCTGGGCAATGTAGCAAGACTTCGTTTCTACAAAAAAATTAAAAAATTAGCCAGACACAGTGGTACATGCTGTGGTCTCAGCTAGTGGGGAGGCTAAGGTGGTAGGAACTCCTGTGCTTAGGAATTTGAGGCTATAGTGATCTGTGAGTGTGCCGCTGCCCTCCCACCTGGGTGACAAAGTGAGATCTTGTCTCAAATAATATTGTTTAATTAAAACAAAAAACTATATTAATTTATTTTGCTCACAAATTTGCAATTATCCATGCAACATCAGCTGAAGTGTTTCAACTGGGCCCTGAAAGATTCAAGATGGTTTACTCACAAGGCTATCAAGTTCTTATGGGTTATCAGATGACAGCTCAATCAAGCTGTAGTCCAAGCACCTACATTCTTCTTCACATGAGCCTCCCCACAACAGGTCTCTTGGACTTGTACAAGCATAGTTGCTAGGTATTAAGAGCAAGCATCCTAAATGAACAAGGAAAATGTACAATGCTTCATGGCCTACTCTCAAAAGTCATAGAGCATTAATAATCACAACCTTGCCCATATTCAAGGGAAAGGAATACCTCTTGATGGGAAGACCTTCAAAGTCTTATTGTAAGAAAAAGAAAGTAGCTGGGCATGGTGGCTCACACCTGCAATCCCAGTACTTTTAGAGGCTGAGGCATCAGGATTTCTTGAAGCTGGGAATTCAAGATCAGTCTGAGCAACAAAGTGAGACCCCGTCTCTACAAAAATAAAAATTAAAAAATCAGCCAGGAGTGGATGCATGCCTGTGGTCCAAGCTACTTGAGAGGCTGAGGTAGGAGGATTGTTTGCACTCAGAAGTTTGAGCCACAGTGAGCTATGAATGTGCCACGGCACTCCAGCCCAGGAAACAGAGTGAGACCCCGTCAGAAAGAAAGATAGGAAAGAAGGAAGGAAGGAAGGAAGGAAGGAAGGAAGGGAGGAAGGAAGGAAGGAAGGAGAGGAAGAGAGGAAAGAGAGTAGAAAGAAAGAGAAAAATAATGAATAAAAAACAAATGTGACAGGAAATCTTTGAAAACTACAATCTGCCATAGTCTATCTTCAGGCCACAGTGATTTATATACCTCTCACATGTAAAATACAGTCATTACCCCAAGACTAAAGGTCTCACTTCATAATTACATAAGCTCAAAGTTCAAAATCTTATCATATTAATCCAATTTAGGTAAAAAATAATTTCCTTTGAGTGCAATTCCTCAATTACAGCTCAATGAGCACTCTTTTTTACAACGTGATTCATGTCACACATCTCACCTAAAAAAATATTTTTTCTCGTTCTCCAAATACCCAAAATAAAGTGGTGGGACAGGCATTAGAAAACTGCTGTAGACACTCCTACACAAAAGGGTGGGGAATGGGAAGGAATACAGTAGTCACTGGTCCATATCAATCCTGAAATGCCAGGCACATGCTGCCAATTCTTTGATTAGAGTTCAGTCCTACTCCCTGGAAATTGTTCTCTATGGTTCTTTGCTGCACTCCAACATCTCCTCATTCTGCCCTGAGTCCACCTTCCATTTTCCTAGGCCTTTTTACACCTATTTCCTACTTGTAAAGGGGGCTTAGCAATATTCCATTTTGTGCTGTTTCTTTCCCTTCTTCTTATAAGTTGATACAATTATTTTAATATTTGTGGGATTTCTGTGTATTTGTGTACAATTCATTCCATCAGACAAAAGCCAAAACCACAAATCTTGTCAAGACAGGCCATTCTCTTTCTTGACCTTGCCATGAGATTGCCTTGGGACACCATCCTTTAGATCCTTATAAGCCTTATTGTATCATGGGGGGAGACACTTAAAACACATTGTTATGCTCCTTAGAGGGGTGGTTTGAAAAATTATATAAAGAATCATCTTAGATCTCTCTGAGGTCTTAAGTGTGAGTTGTACAGTATAATTGATTTTCTCCCTTAAGCCAGTCCTTCATTTGCAATCTAGAAAGAGTAAGAAAGAGAAACTGATTTATTTTCCAACTAAGAAAGTTCTGAATATTTTATATTTAAGACTTAATTTTTAGCTCATTCCTCTCTCTCTGACATTTTATCATAGGCAATGAAAAGAATCTAGGTGACACTTCCAATTTTCTGCTTGAAAATTTCCTTAGTTTGATCGTCATGTTCATTGCTGTATTTCCCATTTTGCTTGCTACTTGAGGTAATAGTGTTGTCAAAGTTTCCATTGCTACTAAACATCTTCCAATCACATTTTCCTACTTTCCTTGAGCTGCCAGAAACAGCTTTCTCAATATTCTTTAGGTTTCTGGTAACACTTTTCCAAAGCTTTTCTGGCTTCCATCAGTGGCCTATCTCAAAGCCAATGCTACATGTTTAAGGGTCTGTATAGCAACACCCCACTTTCCAGTACCAAAATTTATATTAGTTATCTGTTACTGGATTAAAAAAAAAATCCCAAAACCTAGTGACTTAGAAGAAAAACAAAAATTTCCTTTGCTCATAATTCTGCAACTTGACCAAGTATGGTGAGGAAAGCCCACTTTGTTCCACCTGTCAAGATGGCTGACTTTCTTGGCTGGCAAATTAATACTGGCTATAGCCTGAAAACTTAGCTGAAACTGGAGGGGCCAGATCTCTCCATATGGGCCTCTCCATAGGTTACATGAATTTATTCAGACATGGAGACTGGGTTAGACAGTGTCCTAAGGGGATCAGGTATGACTTTAATTTCATTACCTGTAGTGTCACTTCCACTGGAATCATAGGGCCATCCATATTTACAGGGAGGGGACATAGACTCCCACCTTCCAGTGGTAGGGATATCAAGTTACATTCACAGAAGTAAATGTAGGATGGGAGACTTTAAGTCTTCTTTGGAAAATGAAATTTGCTCAAATGAAAAGACATCAGATGGCTTTGAGCTAGATTAGTAATGTGATCTGATTTTTGTTGTAAAAGATTCCTCTGGTTTCTATGTGGAAGATAGATTAATGTGTATCAAGACGGAAATTGAGGATATCACTAAACAGGCTATTGCCAAAGTTTAGGAAAGAGATAACGGCAACTTGAATGGAGAGAAGAAATAGAAACGGAGACAAGATTGGAGATAATGTTGTAGAGGTTCAATCAGTGGAAATAAATTAGATGCAGCAATTGAGAGAAAGAGAGTAATCAAAAATTACTTCTAAATTTTGCACTTGAGAAACTGTGTGAATTGTAATTCTATTCACTGAAATGAAGAAGGCTAGGGAAGAAACAAGTTTTAAGTCTGTTTTACAAGGAGATGAGATCAAGAGCTCGGCATTGTATGTGTTAAGTTTGAATTCTTTATTTAATATTCAAGTGGACATGTTAAGTAGGCCATTATGTTTATGTTCCTAGAATTCTAGGATTCAAGAGGAGATGTCAGGGATAGAAGTACAGGGTGGTGGAGTAGAAGGGGATAACTTTTGTTACCCATGTAAATGCCATGGGTAATGATGAAATAAAGCAATTTAGATAATTGATGTAGAACCTAATGGGTAGCCCAGGATCCTGAAACATGCTAATATTAGAAGACTGGGCACAGAAATAGGAATCAGTGGAAAAGAACAAGAAAGGGAAACCAGTGGAAGTAGGGGCTATCCAAAATGCCTACTATTGTAGAAGCCAAGACAAGTGTTTTAACTACTATGACTCTGTAGTACAAACACTCCAAAACTTAGGTCATTTAAAAATAAATATTTTTCTGTGAATCAGCATTTGAGCCAGCCTCTTACTTTACTCTGCTCTAAGTGTAAGATGGGATAACTTGAAGGCAACAGGCTGAAATCATATAGAAACTTCCCCTCAAGTGCCTGGTGCCTGTGTTGTGAAGATTCACACTTCGAAGTTGGGCCAGCTGGAGTTTCTAAATCCTCCTCTCTATCACTAAGTAGTATTTCCATGTAATCACTCCAGAATGGTAGCTTTAGGGTAGCTGTACTTATTACATATCTGTTTAGGCTCCCGAGTTGTATGATCCCGAGACAGAGTCAGGTGGGTACATATCAGCCTTCATTACTTAGTCTTATAGGCCCTACAACATTAAGTCCACCACATTTTATGGGATAATGCAGTTTAAAAGGTCCAAAGAAGCTGAGGAGAGGAAACAAAGATCCATCAATCAATGGAGGAAACATAGATCCCCATCTCTCAATATTACTTTGTTGGAATATGTTGGTGCAGTCATCTTTGGAAAATACAATCTGCTACAACTAACAAAGTAGATCAGGTAAGGTCAACAGTATTGGATTCCATTAAGATAGCTAGTAAGGTGAGCCTATTAGAATGAGTGCTGAATTTCCCAGCTGTTAGAGATCACTTACAACCCTAGCCTGACCAATGGAAAATAATGAAAACAGCATGGGGAAGAGTAAAAAGGAAGGGCAAGAATCTGCGATTATAAGAATAATGACTATAGATGACTTTTTTTAAAATTATAATTTAAGTTCTGGGGTATATGTGCACAATGGGCAGGTTTGTTACATAAGTGCCAATATGTCACATGTATCATATTGGTTTGCTGCACCCATCAATTTGTCATTTATATTCGGTATTTCTCCTAATGCTACCCCTCCCCTAGATCTCGACCCCTGACAGGCCCCAGTGTGTGATGTTCCCCCTCTGTGTCCATGTGTTCTCATTGTTGAACTCCCACTTATGAGTGAAAACATGCAGTGTTTGTTTTTCTCTTCTTGTGTACCATTCAGCACATAGGCATGGGCAAAGCCTTCATGACAAAAACACCAAAAGCAATGGCAACAAAAGCCAAAATAGAAAAATGGGATCTAATTAAACTAAAGAGTGTCTGCACAGCAAAAGTAGATGACATTTAAGAAAGTTTTCTGTTGAAGGGAACTAAGAAATACAGCAGCAGATCAAAGATATGTAAGTTAAAGGAAATTAATTTTTTAAAGAGGGAATATTTGCATGCTGATGGAAATCATTTAAGAGAGAGATAATAAATTGCAAAGAAAAAAGGGAGTATGGTGGGCACAGAGTCTCAGAGTATTGCACAGCTTAAGATATTGGACTTTAATGAGAGAGGAAATCTATTTTTTTATTTAAAAAATTATTTGTCTTTTTTTCCTCAAGTTCAGTAATTTGCCCAGAGAGTGGATTCTATTGATAGCCTCCTGAGGAAAGTAAGTTAGAGGTAAAAACAAAATTATGGTTTTGTGAATACAGTGGAAGAAAATACAGCCCAAGATATTAGCAACATTATTTTTGAGTCATGTATTTTTAAGTTTAAAATTAAGGTAACAGCCATCACAGGCAAGATCAGACAATTATTCCTTCATTTTAATCATATTTCTGGTTCTAATGATCTGAAAAAAACTTTACTCTTGCCTAATTTAACTAATCTTCACTCTACTGTTTAGTTCTTGTATTCTTTTTTAAAAAAAGATAGCTGAAAGAATACTAATTGTCAGGCAAATTAGATTTATAACAACAAAAATTTGACATTTTTAGATACATCTCTTTTTGATCTAAATTATTAGGTTCTAAGAGAATGTGTAAATTTTAGGTAATACTAAATTGATGTTTTTCAACACTTTATATTTTACTTCATATGCAATATACTTTTTACAATATTAATTTTTAATTAATCTTGTGGTTTATGTGTGAATGTTAAGTTTTATAAATCAACAATGTTTGCTACTTCTTTATCTTTTTCTTTTTTTCCCGTAGAATCGTGAAAGCCTATAACAGATGCACGTGCTTAGTGATGGTACTAAAGACAATGTATCAATATACAGAGTTTTGTTTTTTATATTGATCATGTCACTTTGTTTGTTATGTTCAGACAAATTCCTTTTTTAGTTATTTGAAATCTGTTAAGTCATCTTATGCTGACAACAATATGTGATAGGTGCTATTTCTACAGTGATTTAAACTGAGATACAAAGGGCTTAACTAAGGTCAAACAGCTAATAATTTTGGATGCAAAGTCTATGCTATTAACCAGTTATCTAAACTGTCTCTCTGATAATGATGAAGTTATTGATGATAATTGTTAAGAAAATGATGTTGAGAATTGTGTAGCTGAGCGTTAATTAAATAAATGAGGCTTAATTCTAAGAATAAAATACTTAAAGCAAGGTAAAAGAGAGTTATACAGAGGAAATTAGCTTGAAAAGTGAGCTAATGCCTCCAGAACACAGGGTGAGTGACAGGAGATGAGACTAAGTAACTAATTTCCTGAAATGAAGATATGAAATACAATCTCTTTCATGCTATTAATGGTGTATAGCTGATCAAAATTCGATTAAACAAAACCAAACTCTGAGTCTGAGTTCAAAGGCCAGAAAATATCAATGTCCCAGCTAAAGCAATCAGACAGGAGGAGTTTCCTCTCACTCAACCATTTTGTTTTATTAGGTCTTCAGTTGGTTGGATGAGGCCCATCCAAATTAGAGAAGGCAATCCACTTTACTCAGTCTACTCATTCAAATATTAATCTCATCCAGGAATACCCTTTCAGACACGTACAGAATAATGTTTGGCCAACTGAATGACCACCCCTATGGTTCAGTTAAGCTGATACACAAAATTAACCATTACAATAATATGGTGACTTTATTAAAAATTCGACACAAAATTTTTGCTAATTATCATGCAAATATAAGACAGATGTTTGTAAATTCACAAATTTATTTTACCTACAGTTAAATAAATAGATCCTGTGTACAGTCCAATGTACATACCTGTGAAACCACTATCCCAATGAAGAAAAAGTAAATTTTTGTCATTCCAGAGGGCTAACCCTCTTCCAGTCAACCTCCACACTCCTACATAACCACTTTTCTCCCTTCTATTATTACAGATATGTTTTCCTTCTTCTTGAACTTCATGTAAAGGCACCATGCAATATGCAATTTTTGGTTAAGGGCTTCTTTCATTTAACATAAGGTTTCTGAGATTCTTGCAGGTCATGCTATATATTAAATCATTCCTTTTTATTAGTGAATAGTATTCCATTGTAAAGATAGGTGGCATTTAAAAAAATCTATTTATCGGTTGACAGACATTTAGGTTGTTGCCAGTTTGGGGCTATAATGAAGAACAGCCTCTGTGAACCTTTTGGTACTTGTCTTCTTGTACACATATGTTTACATTTATCTTGGGTACATAAATAGGACTGAAATTGCTAGGTCATAACTTACACATATGTTTAAAAGGAAATACAAAGCAGCAAAATACTTAATTCATTTAAATTTCTACCAACAATTTATGACACTTAAAGACATTCTACATACAAAATTTGATGTCAACACTTTTAATGTTAGTCATCTGACCTAGGTGAAACAGTATCTCATTATAGTTAAATAATTATATTCTCAATAATCAAAATTGATGTGGTGATGTATTTGACTGACAAAAAGAACTTACAGTACTTGCAGTACCTAGTGGGAATTTCTTGAATTACTGATATGTTTTGGCTGTGTCCCCACACAAATCTCATCTCGAATCATAGCTCCCATAATTCTCATGTGTTGCGGGAGGGACCCAGTGGGAGACAATAGAAACATGGGGGTGGTTTCCTCCATACTGTTCTCATGATAGTGAATAAGTCTCATGAGATAAGATGGTTAAATAAGGGGAAACCCCTTTCACTTCACCCTCATTCCCTTCTTGCCTGCTGCTATGTAAGACATGTTTTTTTTATTTTCCGCCATGACCATGAGGCCTCTCCAGACATGTGGAACTGAGAGTTCACTAAATTTATTTTTCTTGACTTGGCAATGCGGATTCTTTTTTGGTTCCATATGAACGTTAAAGTAGTTTTTTTCCAAGTCTGTGAAGAAAGTCATCGGTAGCTTGATGGGGATGGCATTGAATCTATAAATTACCTTGGGCAGTATGGCCATTTTCACGATTGTGCTTCTTCCTATCCATGAGCATGGAATGTTCTTCCATTTGTTTGTGTCCTCTTTTATTTCATTGAGCAGTGGTTTGTAGTTCTCCTTGAAGAGGTCCTTCACATCCCTTGTAAGTTGGATTCTTAGGGATTTTATTCTCTTTGAAGCAATTGTGAATATGAGTTCACTCATGATTTCGCTCTCTGTCTGTTATTGGTGTATAAGAATGCTTGTGATTTTTGCACATTGATTTTGTATCCCAAGACTTTGCTGAAGTTGCTTATCAGCTTAAGGAGATTTTGGGCTGAGACGATGAGGTTTTCTAAATATACAATCATGTCAATCCTAAGTCAAAAGAACAAAGCTTGAGGCATCATGCTACTTGGCTTCAAACTATACTACAAGGCTACAGCAACCAAAACAGCATGGTACTGGTACCAAAACAGAGATATAGACCAATGGAACAGAACAGAACCCTCAGAAATAATACCACACATCTACAACCATCTGATCTTTGACAAACCTGACAAAAACAAGAAATGGGGAAGGGAATCCCTATTTAATAAATGGTG